TTTAATTACTCAGGCATGGTGGTGCGTGCCCGTAGTCTCAGCTACTTGGGAGGCTTGAGTGGAAGGGTCACTTGGGCCCGGGAGGCCAACGCTATTTTGAGCCAAGGTTGCACCAATGCACTTAAGCCTGGGTGACATAGAAAGACCCTGTCTCCAAAAATAATGATAATAACTGGCATCAATATTAAGGAGCAGCCATGGATACACACAGCAGTAGGTGAAAGCAGCCAGAACAGGAAACCCCGTCACAAGAAAGGGGCGCCTGGTGGCTCACGCCTGTAATCCCAGCACTTTGGGAGGCCCAGACGGGAGGATCACCAGAGGTCAGGAGCTCGAGACTAGCCTGGCCAACATGGGGAATCCCCGTCTCTACTAAAAATTCAAAAATAAGCTGGGTGTGGTGATACGCGCTTGTAATCCCAGCTACTCAGAGGCTGAGGCAGGGGAATCACTTGAACCTGGGAGGTGGATGTTGCAGTAACCAAGTTCACACCACTGCCCTCCAGCCTGGGCAACAGAATGAGACTCCATCACAAAAAAAAAAGAAAAAATACACACAAAAAAGAAACAGGTGCCCAGGAGAGGGCAGAGGAGCCACCATGCCTGTTACTGAATGCTGAGAGGGAAGAGTCGGACACTCTGTGCCAACGAAGGACCACCTCAGTTTGCTCTTCTGTAAAATGAGACTTGAACTAGACCAGGACTCCTCCACTATTTAGGTGCTACAGCAAATGGGAGTTACAGTATTTGTGGCAGAGCCCCCAAAGAAGGGGAAAGCTGGCATCTGACTTCACTAACTTTAATTTGCAGAGAAGTGTTCATTAAACTGACACTTATAAAACCAAATATGAAGCTACAGCCATGAGCACGTGGTCACAGGAGGAAACTAAACTGTCAAAATAAGCAGGTGGCTGCTTCCAAGTGTTCCCACTGATTCTTGCCAGCTCCTTGTTCATTTGTCTGTCTGCTGGCGTCTTTTTGCCAACAAGTGGTCACAGGCAGAGATTCTGAAAACGTTTGTTGGAGAAAAATGCAAAATCAAAAAGACAGTAGCCATTAATCATTACTTGGTTCTTTTTTATATATAAATTGGGGGAAATCCATCTGAGTCCACCTTTGGAGGCGCCACCCACAGGTCAAAGGAGCCTGGCCTGAGACTGACTGGATGAAAGGCTGCTTAGGGGCCTTTCTCAGCCAAATCCTAAGATACTTTTCCAGCCCCAGCTGCTGTGGGAGTCACCGTGCAGCTGGTCCTGGCAGCACCTTGGGAACCTGAAGTAGGGACAGGGCAATTGTCCCAATTTTTTTGTCCCAGCGTTAGCTGTTCCCAGCCACAGACACAAGCACAACAGAGCAGGCCAGATCCCAAAGCATGGCCAGATGGCAGCAGGGATCCACGGGTCATCACGCCTCGCGAGGCAACTGGGCAGAGTCCCTGTGTTCGTGGGAGAGCAGTCGGGGCAGGCCAGGTGCCCAGTAACAGGTTTCAGAAGGGGGAGAGTCAAGCAACCAGCTGTCCTTGGGTGGGGGCTGCCCCTGGCAGCGGCAGAGGGGCTCATGACAACTTGCAGTGGCCCCAACCCAGGGACACACTGTGTGCAGGCTGGAGTCACATACCACTAGAGCCCTGGGGGTGCCTGAGAGCAGCTGCCTGGATAAACCCAGACAGGTGACAAGCCAAGGTCAGGAAGTACAAGCAAAAGAGCAGAGAAGCAGAGAAGACAAGTGGCCTGGGGCATTCATCCTTTCAACAAATGTCCATTGAATGACAGTCACACGTGAAACTTCAGCAATACTTAGCTTTTATTCTTTTTCCAGAAGATAATACATACTCTGTGTAAAAATATTAAAAGAATATAAGAGTGTATCAAGTAAAATGTATCAAGATGTCCCGCTCATTTTACAACTCCAATTCCACTCTCCAGAGGTAATCATTGTTTTTGATTTTGTTTTCAAACGGAGTCTCGCTCTATTGCCCAGGCTGGAGTACAGTGGCTTGATAGCTCACTGCAACCTCTGCCTCCGAGGTTCAAGCAATTCTCCTGCCTCAGCCACCTAACTAGCTGGGATTACAGGCATGCACCAACATGCCCAGGTAATTTTTGTATTTTTAGTAGAGATGGGGTTTCACCATGTTGGCCAGGC